GTCCTCTTAGAATAATTAGCCTACTCTGGCACTGTAACCTTTGGCCGAATATTACTCTGGGCAGAATATTATATTGGCTTGCTTTATATTCCTGCTAAGTGGCCTGGCTGTTGCCTGAGAAACGGTGAGTTCAACTAGACATATAGATTTCTGTCTAAGTATGATAGATGAGGTAAGATAACAGTGGGAAAAGAGGGAAAGTCAAGGAAGAGGAGGGAAAGGTAATTGATTTGGGTTTTCTTTAAAGGGCTGGTGTCATTTTTCTTAGAATTGTCATCATGTCTTGTTTAATCACTTGAAATCTAGGTGTCATATACTACTGTGTGTTTCACAAAAGCAGCAGGTTTTATGGAGGAATTTGAAAGGTTTGGAGATAAAGAAGAAAGGAAGAGATAGTGTTTGACTCCAGCTGCTGTCCTGGAGAAGGACACCAGCAAGGACAAGGGGCAGTTAGACGCCCCTGCACAATGAAGTAGGATTTAGGGTGGATGTGATTGTGGGGGGGAGGGCACACACATCAAATGTCCTCTGGGTTCTGAGTCTTGGTCACTCAGTTTTCTTTGAAATCTCACAACCCTCATTTTAGTTCAAATAGCTAGGTCATAATGTGGCTATTTATGCCTGCCATTTGACAGATGAGAAAAATGTAAGAAAAGAGGTTAAATAATTTATACAAGTTGAATTCTTAACAGATTTGCACCCAGGTGACTCTCACTCCAAAATCCACCTACTTTTTTCACTCTATTATTCTATCTCTTCCTCAACTTATTTTTTATGAAATAAGTGCATGCAAAGCCTTTCATAAGGCATAAAGTATTATATAAATCCAAGGCATTTAAGGTATTATGTAACTAACATTTGAAAGGCAAGAGACACCTGGAAATCAGAGAAACTGTTACAAGTGTGTACAGGTGTGTACCACTCAGTGTATTTAGTTTGCTTTCTGTTTGTGAAGCAGGCTGAAATTGCAGAAGGGACTATGAGGCTGAAATGGAAATGAAGTGAACACAGAAATAGACGATGATGAGTTTCAGTATTTCACAAGAAAAAGAATAATGAAATTATTTTGCAGCAGTAGAAATTGCTCAATTTTAAACATTTGTGTTGCGGATTACAAAATCATGTAAGTGTAATACGAATTTTCTACATATGAAATTAAAGAGGGATTATTCTGAAGCTGATCCACAAAAAAGTTTAGATTCTTGCTCGCCGAAGGGTGGCCTGGGACCGGCAGCTTTGGCCTAAGCTGGGAGCTTGTTAGAAATGTAGTATCGGGCCCCACCTGATGACTATGGGCGACGTGCGTGCTCATCGTGGCCTCCAAGGCAGTTTCGGTCCGGGAGGTAAGGCGGTGGGCCAAGAGGAAAGGGCATACAGTTGGGCTCGGGGTTCGTGTGGTAACAGGTTTCTAATGAGGAAAATGAGTTTCAGGGAGTATTCTGAGTATTTTTTATGAATAAACAGCCTATGAACAAATCACCCCAATTCCCCCGGAGTGACAGGACGGTGAGCTGAAAGCGGGGCTGTTCTGGGAATGTGTATTGTAAACGCAAGAAAAAAAGTTCTGGTGTCAACCAGGGCCAGACCATATAGTGCAGCCTCCTATTTTGCAGCACTGTGTTGGTTAGCCAAGGAGGACGTGAGTGAAATCTTGAAAATTTAGCTTAAAAATTTCTCTTCAATGTAGTACATAATTTATCAATAAAACAAAGGCCAAAAAGTTGGTGGGTTTCTCTCTGGTAGTATTTCATAAAGAAGTTGAGGTCCTCCTTTAGTGCGCTAAGGCGGAGGGAAAGAGGCATCCAGCATTTTGAAGAAATGGGCAGCAGTTTCTCCACGGTGCACCTAAAGCAGTACCTGTAGGTCTCCCGAGTCCCGGCGAGGGGCTAGCTCACATACCCTGGTCTGCTATCACTGTTTGTGACCTTGCAGCCTCCTGTCCGCAGAGCACTGTGCTGGGAGCAATTGGTAGGGGTGCGGCAGGGAGCTGGTGACTCTAGGATTTACAGCTATAGCTGTAGGGCTCTGACCTAAAGGAAATTAGAGTTCCTCAGGTCTTCAGGGAGTGAATTAAGAATTTTCGCTCTTTCAATCAATTCATCAGCATGCATTCAGTAAGCACATACTTTGTGAACAGCTCTGTACAGGATACCATAGTGCAAGCCTTAATTCCTTTCTTCCAAGATTTGTAAATCTCAGTGCCAGAAAGAACAGAGTATTTTAGGGAAGGGTGGGTGATGCCTGTTGGGGTAGGAGGAAGCACTATAATAGTACACTACCTGTACTTAGGACTTGCTAGTGAAGAAAGGGCATTTAGAAATAGAGGGAGGTAATCAGTTTTCCTGTTTTAGAGTTATGGAAACAGGTTTGGAGACGTTTAATGATCCATGCAAGGTCACCTCTCACTATAATTGACAGACTTGGAAATAAAATCTAGGTCTTCCATTGCTTAATTCCACGAGGAAAAATAACCTCGATGATGGTGTTGATGGTTATGATGATGGTGACGATGATGGTGGTGGTAAGGAAGGGTAAAATATGGGAAAGACAGTGCTAGGGACTTCTTCTTAAACAAAGGACAGTCCCACTGTCCTTCCATTAGTATTGTTTGTTCTGGCTGAAGGAGAAAAGTGAGTGGCTTCAACAGACTGAAACCAGGACAGAGGGACTGGGGCACCCCATTGTGCTCTTAGCACATACTGGGCTTCCCAGAGCTCCACGAAGTAGATGTAAGTGAAGAATCCTCATTGCAACCCACAACCGAGGTTAAAAAATCAGGGGCTTCACTAAATGCATCTGGCAAGCATTTCGTCTTCCCTTAAATAAAATAAATTCCCTTAATAAAGCCAATGGAGGCAGGGTTGGTGGCAGGGGTGGGAGGTGGAGCGGGTGTGTATGATTTATCACAGAGCAAGAGGAGGGCCTTGATGGTTCTGAACTATCTATTTAGAACTGCTGGCTCTAAAACCAAGTTGTACATTGGTTTCTCTTTTTGTGCCAATCTTACATTTTTAAAAAAATATAACTTTTATGAATATCATCATTAGTGCTATAAGCACAGGGAAGTATAAGTTAATTCTACAGTAAAGTGATTATTAAATCCATTAGTCATATACAGGGAATCCATAATTAACTTATTCTCCAGCATCAAGTAAATGATTCTACTGTGTGCTTTAAGAAAGCAATTGTTCACTAATATGCAAAATACAGCAGAACTATTAGATCATAAAGCTATGCAATCTTATAATTAAATTATAAATTTTACATATTTTAATAATGTGCTTTATATACTTTAATTGTTTTCTACGCAAGATTAAAAGGAGGTGCCATGGTTTTTCTCAGACATATTATATCTTGACCTGTACTGTGCAATACTTAATAGTAATTGATGAGCATCTACCAGGGATGACAGCAGTCTTTCAGCAGCATCAGATATTTCTTTGGATTATTGCTGAGGACTAAAATGAAGACATGCATTAGTCTTAAGTGAAATTGCAGCTATACCCTTGGGCTTGCTTTGTTTTCCCCCCTTTTGCCGTTACAACAACCACAGGCATCCACGTTCTCTCTTCCCAGGCCGTGAGAATGAACTGGCCCCCACTCGCACTGCCTTGGCTGTGTATGTGGGTAAAGGCAACACGCACATTAAATTCTCTGCAGGGGACTTATGTGCCTACATGGGCAATCTATTGTTGTTATTGTATTTTGGATTAAATAATGATGCCATTCTTTTCCATGTGCAGAATTAAATGTGTTTGAAAGACTCGGGAAATACTACAGATCTGTGCTGTGGGGACTGCCTCTGTGACCTTTTGTTTTTCCAAATCCTGATTGCTGCAGGGGGACCTGTAGTGCTGGTTTCCTTTTTTCCCCCTCCGAGTGAACTAACCTTTCTCTTGGATGGTTACGCTATCCCAGCATGCTTTCCAGTTTTTAGAAGTAACGTTGCATCAAAGATGCCCCCACACAAGCAGAATAAGTGGTTCATTCATTCCTCTGTTCACTCAGCAAATACCCATTGAGAGTTTGTCATATGCCTGACCCTGAGCACAACACAGGGGGTACAAAGATGTAAAAGACGAGATTACTTGGCTAGCTGTGTGAAGTACTTACTTCTAAGTATCACACTAGTGATACTTAGTATATCACTAAGGCTTATACAGGATACTTAGTGTGTTAGTTTGTTACTAACTTAACAGACTGCCAGCAGCACATACCACAGACTGAGGGACTTAAACAACAGAAATTGATTTTCTTACAATTCTGGAGGCTAGAAGTCCCAGATTGAGATGTTGGCAGGGTTTCTTCTGAGGCCTCTCTGCTTGGGTTGCAGATGGCTATCTTCTCTGTGTGTGTGTCTGTGTCCTAATTTTCTCTTCTTATAAGGGCACCAGTCATATTGGATTAGGGCCCAAACTAATGGCCTCACTTTAATTTAAATAGCTCTTTAAAGCCCTATCTCCGAATACAGTCACATTCGGAAGTACTGGGGATTAGGATTTCAACATATGAATTTTGGAGGACCCAGTTTAGCCCCTAACATGAAAGGATCACCAAGATAGAGCAAGAGTTATGTCAAACTCGGCTACTAGTATCATAATATGCTCTTTGATTTTAATTAGAGGAGGCAAAATTGGTCCCCTTGATCCTGGTCTCTGTTTTCTCCATCTTCTAAGGTGTTACTGTTTACTTTCTAAAACCAAAGTCATGTGACTTCCCTACTTAAAAATATTAGGCCTGAAAACAATAATCTTGGTTTGAACTCAGATCGCCACACGTGTATTAGGTGACGACCATCTTCCAGGCCTTGGAATAGCATATGTGAAAAGACAAATAATAAGCAGTCCCTGCTCTTAGAAGCGCATTGTGTAGGTGGCTTCATACTGTTCAAAGCAGTGTTTATCAAGGTGTGACACATTGGCCTCCCATCAGCACTTCCGGTATGGAACGGAACTCCTGAGAACCAGGTGCCTAAGCACTCGGAGTGCAGTGAGCGCGACACAGGGAAGCTGCTCGGCAAAGTCCACGGCTCGACTCTGTCACAAACGTATGGAGAGAACTGTGGCAAAGAGATGTAGGAAGTGGACACTGATTGTGCCAGTGGTTTTTCTAAAGAATTGGTCACATCTTATACCACCTAGAAGAGAGCTACTAAGGCCGATGAAGGTCTAAGCTCTTGGCAAAAGGGAAACACAAAGAATTCAGGCCCTAACAGGCCTCCTTACTCGGACCCTCCTACCCGGTGGCTACCTAAACCAAACTTGGCTTCCCAGAATTGGCTGACAGAGCAAGGACTTGTTTAATTCGTGAGTACTGGACACAGAATCATTCTTTGTGGCAGCTCCAATATTGGCAGATGGGAAATTTAGCTCTGTCCTGTTTATATAACAGCAGTTGATAGTGACTTCATAGTTGGATATTTATGAGAGGTTTCATTTCAAATAATATAGTTTTGGCCTGTGGCAATGCTAAGGCTTCTTACCCATTATTACTGAAAAGCTAAATCTTTAGGATATTGTAACTATAACTGCAGGGTCCGTTTGATCTACCCAGAAGAACTGCAAAAGTTAATATTTTTCATAGCAATGAAAGCTTTATTATAAAAAGTCTCATTAGGAAGTTATCTGTCCCTAAAACATATAGACTATCAGAAGGTCAGGTATATAAAAAAGCAACTTTTCATACTTTTCTTTCACTTTATGCTTCTATCACATAACAAGGTAATTAAAAAAAAAAGCCTCCCACTTTCCATTACAGAAACCAAACACCTTGCCAAGCCCTCCAGCCAGGTCTGGCTCTGCGGTTGGCTGGTGAAGTCCATTGTCACTGGGGAAGGGCATTAGCTTCGGATGTGTTGGGTGTCGAGGACTCTGCAGATTCAGTGCTGTTCCCAGCCCTGTAAACTGCCATCAACTCATGGGTGTCCTACGGTTCCCCAGTTGAGAAAGAAGATTACCCCCATCTTCACACCAGCAGGAGAGACCTTTGGGGCTCTGTGGGTTTAACATCTTTGTAATGTGATGGGGTGTCCTCGACAGCCAAGGAATTTTCTGGATCTGGAAAAGATGACTGGGTTGAGGGGTTCGAAGGCTATTTAAGGATGGGCACTGGGGGTCAGCAGAGAAGTACGAGGTCCCTGCAGCTCTTCCCAAAAGAAAGGGATGGCCCCGAAAGGCCTCATTCATAGGGGCTCTCTCGGTTTGGCGGACACAAAGTAAGAACTTAAATGGTTGGAGAAAAATTGGGCAAGAAAGAGGGTGACAGGTAATTTAGCAGAGGGCTGAAAGTTTTTCTTTTTTTGGTTTTGTAATGCAGGAAATTGCACAGGACACATAGTATCCCCTCACTCTTGTAGGAAGCCAGTGAGAGGAGTTACACCTGGTGTTATGAGCTGAGCTGTGTCCCCTGCAAATTCCATGTGTTGCTATTCTAACCCCAGTACCTCAGAATGTGACTGTGTTTGGACATAAGGGCTTTAAAGAGGCAATCAAGTTAAAAAGAGGTCATTTGGATGGGCCCTCATCCAATATGACTGGTATCCTTATAAAAGGAGGAAATTCTGGCCAAGTGTGAAGACACAGAGAGGACAGCCACCTGCAAGCCAAGGAGGGAGGCCTCAGAAAAAACCAGCCCTGCCCACACCTTGTTTTGGGACTTGTAGCCTCCAGAATTGGGAGGAAATTAATTTGAAGCCACCTGATCTGGAACTTTGTTATGGCAGCCCCAGTAAACTAATACACCTGTGTAAATTATTTGGGAGGCAGGAAGCAAGAAAAGGGCAAGTGCTAATTTGTAATTGTGCACATCGCCACGTACAATTTGTACTTCTCTTCAAAGCAGGAACCCCTAAGTGTGGAGCTCTTCCTGGTCTTGTGCCTGGACTCTCTGCGCTCAGTGACCCAGGGGCACTCGGGCCTGTTACCTCAGCCCAGGTCAAATGTTGGACTTTAAAAACTTAATGGTAGAACTTTTTTTCATGTATTTATGTCTTATTAATTAGCTTTTAAGAAAAAGTTATTTTCTTGTTATAGGCAGGATTTCTTTAGTATCTACAATTTTGAAAAATATTTGGTCTCAAATTTTGTTTCTTGCTATTTTTCTAATAAAGAATCTAATTTAGCATTTCCCAAAGCATGTTTCATAAGCTATCCATGAAATGCTCTAATATAATTTACTCACAAAAAGGATGGTGTCACCAAATACATTTTGGAAACACTGTATCATTAGACCTTCATAATGTACATTAGCATATTAAAAGTTCTGAGTCGTCCTGCAACAAAGAAAGCCCTTTAACTCTATTTAACTTTATTTAATCCAGTATCTTCCAAAATTATTTGACAAAAAATGCCTTTTTATCCCCAGATCATCTGGCCATCTGTTTTATTAAATATAATAGAAGTAGGTCATATTTGCTAGGGCATTGCTATGTGCAGGGCATCTCTTTAAGAAATGTATGTTTTAAGTCATTTTCTCTTCTTTATAACCCAATGAAGTTATTCCCAATTGACAGATGAGGCACAGAAAGAGAATTAATCTGATTAAGACCACACAGCTAGTAAAGGTCACAGCCAAGACTCAAACTCAGGCATCCTAACTCTAAGGACCCTTGGAGAAACACCACTCTAGACTCCAGGACAGAATTTGGTTCAATATTTCTGGACTCAATGAATATGAATATATGTGTATTCACTTAACACATTTGTTGCATGCTTTTTATGTAGAGTTAACTATGCTAGGCACTGTGGGTACTCAGTGAGTAAAAGCAGGTAGGGTCCTTGTATGTATGAAATGAAAATCTCATGGGAAGACAGATAGTAACCAATGAATGATTCAGATAGGTGTAAGATTACAGCTATGATCACAGTTGGGGGGCTTCTAATGAAAGGCATCCACTGCTATAGTCTATGAAACATGGGGACTTGTGCTGTGCAGAGAGGAAACAAAGGCCTTCCTGGGAAGTAAAAAGTAAGCCTAAATGTAGCTCTATAAGGACCCAGCCCTATGCTGGGTGAAAACTCTTGTAAAAACCTTATTTGGTTTTGCTTATCTGAAACTATGGGTTTTAACCTTCAGTGCAAAACTTTATGTTGGGTGCCTAACTTTTAAGTTACTTACTGAGCTGGCACCCAGAAGCCTCTCCTACTTCCCTGCCCAAATTTCTTCATTTATCCCGAGGTCAATGTTTTAAGGTGCTTTCTTTCTAAGGTGACCTGTGCATTTTCTCCTGGATTAAGCTCTCAGTGAAAAAGACTGATGGTCCAGTAGAGAGTTTCCTTGGGCAAGAGACTTACCCAGAGCTAGGCCCCATTTCAGCTCCGCATGTAGCCAAGCTGCTACTTTTGTGATACTATTTAAGAGTTGTTTTTTTTTTAAGAAGAGCTTGGGAATGGTGGAAATGAAACGGGGCTAAAATTTTATTATGTAAATATAAGAAAGAGTGGGACATGCAGTTTAGGGATTGACATATTAATTAGAAATTCGAGGGTCTCTAACTTTACACTCTTATCAGCACCGATTCCTACTTAAACTGGCAACAGAAATCAAATGGGTTTTATTTTGGGCTGATTAGATTTTAGTGTGAGCTGAGCCCACCAAGATGCATCTGTTCTTGAAAATAGAAACCCAATGCTTGATATCCACTCTTTGTTTTTATGACTTTCTTAAATCAAGAGGTGTAGAACCATTGGGTGCCAACAAAAACCAGTTGAACCAGAAACTGTGAATTTTGTTTTGTTTTGCTTTACCAGTAATGTGTCTTTTATCTTTATACGGCAACCTCATAGCAAAAGTTCCAGTAAAAAGGAGATAACATTTATTGAGCATGCAACCATCTGCCATGAACCGTGTTGTGTCCTGCACAGTTTATGTCATTGTATACACTGCACACATCGTATTGCTAAAGCTTACCAGGATGTTTTTCCTATTTTACAGAGAAGGAAATAAGTTCAAAGAAAGTTAAGTCAGGTCATACAACCAACTGGTAAGGCAGAGTTGGGGCGTAAACTCCAGTTGACTCAGGTCAAAGCCAAAGTTCCCAACCTCTCCAATGTACTCCTTGAATTCCTCAGCGTGCCAGTTTGTTTCTTCTCATCACCCTTGTTACTGGTTACTGGCTTTGGAGACAGAAAGTTCAGTGAACATTTCCAAGATGGGAAGGTGAAAGGGGCATGATCTTATTATTGTTTGCATTTCTTTCATTCCTATTATTGTCTCACTTGGATCCAGACTCTAAAGACTGCTAACAGCTTGTAAGATTGAGGCAGTATGGTGTACTGGATGAAGTATAGGTCTTGAGGCCAAATTAGACCTGGGTTCAAATCCCGGCTCTGCCACTTTCCAACTGTATAACCTTGAGTCAGCCACTTAATCTTATGGAACCCTTTTTTTCTCTTCTGCAAAATGGGTTAATAATATCTGCTTTCTAGAATTATTGTCAAGATGAGAGGTAGGTAGACGAGGTGCTTAGTATGAGGTTGGCACTTAATAAATTATGGCTACCAACTAGCATTTATACACCATGGACTCCTGTCCTTTGGTGTAGCTCGGAGCATCAAGCCTGTTTATCTGGAAAGGAGCAAAATGAAAACACCACCTATGGACTATACTGTGGTGATTATTCTTAATATTTCTCTCCAGTAAACTACATAAAAGTTATTTTATTCCCATGTTCTATTTGGAAAACATTATAAAACTTTCAGCAGACAACAGTGCTGTGATAGTGCAGTGCTTTCCAAAGCATGTATGCTTTTCTACTAAGCATATAACTTTATTGCCCTTTATGTGCTCTCTTGGTTAATATAGTAAGCAAATGGGAGATAATTTGAAATACCTCTACTACCATTTATAGTGTCAGAACATACAACTTACCTTTAAAAATGCAAAAGATTCATTGCAATGGAAGGTGCTGTGCATACATACAAATGCATTTTTAAAACAATCAGCAGTGTAGTGCTGAGAGGAATCGTGATCTGAGATCTTTCACCTTTGCAGAAATGAAACAGAGTGTGTTGCTGTGTTCTTGGAGCAGCTAGCCAGGTCAGAGATAGGTTTTGTGGGCAGGATTCCAGCTTTTGTGATCTCCTTGCAGGGACTGTTAGAGGGAAGAGGTAGAAAGCTGGGTTTTCTAGGCCAACAAATACTTTTAAAAATCCTTTCTGGAGAAGAATGATCTGATTTGATAGCAAAGAGTCCAGAGATTTGTCTGCCTCAAATTGCTAGAGATAGAACAGTCCTGGCAGATTGAGAGAGAGTGTCAAGATGCAGGTCACAGATACGCCATTAAATCTTGGTGGGGTTGTGGCTTTTT